AAATGATATACTGTATTAGGATTCAGATATTAGGAACATATACATATGGTTTCGCCATAATCAGTAATAGCTTAAAGAAAGACTCCAGTCAAAGGTAATAAAAACACATCTCACAGACATTCTACTATTCAAGAAGGTAGAAGTTGCGACTACATAGTTTAAAAGATGTTTCTTGATAAATCCTTGCCTAAGGTAACAAGGACTCGTCTCTTAGATACACTTTTCAGCAAAACAAAAGCGATGTCTACACTGTTTGATAAATTGCCCTGATTTATTCTATAAGGTACCCATGTCATAATAACAATAAGCCAAGACTTCAGTCTAGACTCATTAAGAGTTATGCCAGAGTAAGCGCATTCATTGTAATACCATAATTATCCAAGCATCCAGTAAATGTGTGTACACGATTAGTGCCATTTCAATTTGGATTAGCGGGATTAAGTACACTGCTCTGTCTGGTTATTTCATTTATTGTCGGGTTTTATAGGGCACACTCCATTTTGTATTTTCGACAAATTGTAATCTTTTTAATGTTTCAATTCTAAATACAGTACAACCAGAAATTATTGAGAATTTAAAGATTGTAATTTTTTATTTTTTTTCACTCATTACTCACGTATTAAATGTGAACATAACTCCAGATTCAAAGACAGGTGAACAGTTAGTATTTTGTCAAGTCACCATGGGCAGCAATGCAGACTTCAATGTGGCGGGGCACACTACTGATCAAAGAAGTTAGAAAGTCGTGGTCCATGCTGTCCCAATATCGGACCACCTCTTCTTTCATTTCAGCAATATTTGTCAGATTTTTCTTATTGACACTTTCCTTCATAAGTCCCCAAACATTTTCTATTGGATTTAGGTCAGGGCTACAGCTTGGCCAATCTAATAATGTCATATTTTGGGTCCGAAACCAGGCTTGTGAATGCTTTGAACGATGTTTTGGGTCGTTGTCCTGTTGGAAAATCCAAAACTTTCCATAGAACACGTGAGCAGATGGAAGTAAATGTCCCTCGAGAATATCTGCGTACCGCTCACTGTTCATATTCCCTATAAATACACAGAGGGGTGTTGCCCCTAACACAGATATGCCACCCCACACGTAAAATTTGGGACTGTACTTTGGGCGCTGATACAAAGGTTTTTCAGTTTGTTTGGTCCAGAATTTCAGTGTATTAGGAAACAGCCACACAGAACTTTCATCTGAGAAAATCACATTGTCCCAGTTAAAATTGCTATGCTGTAAGCACAAGTTCAACCTTCGCTCCTTTTGTTCAGGTTTCATGATGGGTGATGGAATTCCTCGACTTTTCTGCCAACCCATTGCATGCAGCGCAGTTCTAATTGTCTCCTTACAGACAGCCACAGTTCCTCTATCAATCATATCCAGCCTTAAGTTTTCTTAACTCCTTCGTTTGTTCTTAGAAACAAGAATACCAAGCCGCCTCCTGTCACCGACAGTCAATTTTCGGAGCCTATCTGCGCCTCCCTGGTGCTCAATGCCATATCCATTTGCAATATATTTCAAAACGCGATAAACAGTGGACAAAGGAATGCCTGTTCTACTTGAAATCACTTTAGCTGATCTGATGTCCTTGTTATAATACTCTAAAAATCAACTTCCTCTTCTCTAAATCATCCATACTGAAGATCACTGAAAATGTCGTCTGCCAGCAAGTAAACAAAGGGGGATAACTTCACAAACTAATGAAAAAGGATTAACGGAGTTGTCTCTCTTGAATGAAACCAAGCACTTGATAGCTGGTCAAGGTTGTTTATACTAGAAATCCAATTAAACATACTAAAATTCTCAATAATTTCTGGTCATACTATAAATATACACAAAGAACTTAAGCACCCCCTGACATATCTCACAATTGAATGAGCCCCGATCTTAACACTTTGGAACATATCTGGGTCGTGACTGGTCGTCCTGTGCAACAAAGGGATCCTCTTGTACAGAACATTGCCCAATTGGAAGCTGCTTTACACAGGGAATAGCGCAAACTGTCCCTTCAGTGGATCAGGAGGCTGACAGGGGGGTTGAGGAGAAGAGTGCTGGCTGTCATACAGTCACATGGAGGTTACACTCGGTATTCACCTTGAATCGTGTAAGACATGCAAAATGACATTTTGAATGTTCGCATTCACCAATAAATTCAACATTAAACATTCCAGAGCCATACTTGTACAGACATGGCTTTGTATGAACATCGTGTTTTTTTTAAAACGAGCAATTATCATCATAAAACCAACATGGATTCAAATCCTTTTTTTTTTTTATATGAGTCAAAGGAACATCGTAGTCACCGCGAGAAGTTTCATGTACATGTTGAAAATATATCCTTGCAAAAATATAGGGGTGCTTAATTACGTACTTTTGTGTTTAGTTAGAAAATGTTTAGGCAATAGGGTTTAGACTCTCCAAGGCAGGTTAGATCTGGCCCTCAGCCAAGAGGGTTGTACCGACTCTATGTGGCCACACCATGTTATTCTATTCTTGTAAATAAAAATTGTAATTGGCTTCTTGTAACATCAGACTCTTTGCTGAGCTAATTTCCAATACACAGATGACCATAATAAAATCATGCAATAGTTTCAAAGAAAGATGTCTTGATACTTTAAATGCATACTTTTGTACTGACCTGTGGATTACACAGCCCAATCAAGGATCAAGGTGTTGACCATCTTTGTTTTGTCATACCATGTAAGTGTCCCTTAATGATGCAAAACATTCATGGGCATCTTTCTAAAGCTAGTAGATAAACCACAGTACACAGTACACTTGTTTGAGGGAATGTTGCCACAGCCTCCACATCTTGTACATGTGTTTCATGCTATGACAGTCTGGTATAAACCTCACCTTCACAATCTGTACATTCATTTCTTTACTAATGGTGGGGCATAACCCAAACCTCTGGAATCTGTACTCCTATTCTTACACTTTGAGGGCTTTGTATAACCCACACCTACACCTCCTCCAACTTATCCTTTAAATTAGTTTTCATAACCACACCCTTTGAGTAGCTCCACACAAGGACTATTCTTGAAAGGCCACATGCTTGTTCCCACCAATGATGACACACTGAATATGTTAATAATCTGTATAAAACATGATTTTCAATGTGGTCTAAAACAATACGCCACTTAACAAGAGTTGCACTCATCATGCACAGATATCCCAATTCATTTTTGCCAAAATAATGAGGAGAAACAAATGCTTCGTAATTTCATATCATATATCAATTTGTGGTGGTATGTGGTCCTTTGCATAGAGCTCATGTCACGAATCAGTTGAAGTTAAGCCATGTTGAGCTCGGAGTCCTTGTATGGCTGACTGTGTTTGGCAGTTTGACTCCTGTGAGTTTCTAGGACTTCAGTCCTGACGCACAACAAAGCAAATGTGATACATGTGGTCTCACCTTAGGCAAGTGAGTTTGTTCAAAATTGGCTCTGTTCACCCTGCAGAAAATGGGTACCCGATGGGATAAGTCATGTGACCATTAACCTTCTAGTACCTCACAGGCAGCTTGGGTTGTCCGGGGGTAATAATTCAGTGCTTCATTAGAAATAAGCGCTATACAAATGAATTACATTATCATTATTACAAAATGAATAACACTTGAACCTGATTAAATGCCTTATTGATTTTGTGGATGTCGTTTAAACATTATCATGCACACAAGGACTGCCAATGAAAATGAGATAACTCACAGTCAGACACACAGATAAGACTAAATCTTTATGTCTTCACTTTTCACATATGCATACTGCATATTCAAAGAAAGTCAAATATCTTGAATCATGATGCTGGGAAATAGTCAACAAGTTTGAACTGTGTGGCATGTGCAGATATGATGCCTTGTTTTGTCTGTCAACAGTAACACCATACACAAGGGCATATACCTTTGTTGGATCTCTCAATCAATTAATAATTTGTGAGATTGAGTGAGTACTTATGCCACTTTTAGCAATATCATGGAGGGGAACACCAGTAATGGGCTTCACACATTGTACCCATGTGGAGAATCGAACCTTTGTCTTCAGCGTGACGAGCCAACGCTTTAACCACTAGGCTACCTCACTGCCCCAGTAACTAGTGAGAAGGTACAGTACCATAACACATTGTTACAAGATGCAACACATTTGAGGTGTCATTTGAGACGAGATTTGTTTACCATGACAAGTTTAGTAGTGCTGGATATTAGAACATATTAGGAACAAAGCTGTTTGTATGTTCTATTGTAAGAATAGAAATAATAATTGACAGAATGATAAAGAAAACTGAAATAACCACATTATTTGGTGATAAGACCTTTTGGGTCATTGAGTTATGTACTCACTTGTGTTCATCCTTATTTTCCTTTGAGTAACCAAATAAACTCTACCCACTTCACTCAAACGCAATTGGGTATTTTGCCATTTTCCATTAATTATAAAAATATATTATAGTTTAAATGTTGGTTTACATGTTTGTTATTATATATTTGATGAGAAACGACAAGAAAGACTGCAAGTTGCCGAGTCCAGGTGCTGAAATAGAAACTCTCAGTATACCTCAGTTATTTTATCTATTTTTGTTTGTATGCATGTAATATCAAATCTATTGAGTATTTGAACCATACTTGTACGCAATAGACTTAATAGGAATTGAGTTTTGACACAAATGTTTGTGTAATTTATGCACATACGCAGCTTATCTGTACCTCTGTAAGACTTGACATGTGTAAGTGGGTTCCTTGTTTGCCTCCAATCAGTTTTATGATATGGTTTACTTTCAGAGTGTAAATTTTCTTTAAATGTAAAAAATATGAGGCAAATTACTCCACTAGATTCAGAAACACGCTTGTTCAGATTTTTACATCAACAACCAGCAACTTAAGACTGCCCCTTTGATTCATGTCATACAGCTGAAATTGTCTAATGTTGACAATATTTTTCACAGCCCCAATGCTCAATTATCATTTAGGTGGGTGAGCTAAAATTACACAAAACTGTAGCAAAATTCTGACATTTATTTTCTTCGCTAAATCTATTGTATGATGATTATATAAATGTGGTAGGCATTACAAGTCAAATTGATAGATCCTGCAATTTGACAAACATGAATATTTGCCATAAGAAGAGCCCTGGCCACTCCTAGACCAGTCTGCAAGGAATCTTGACCAGTACTAAGCCCACAAGGATACTTTACAGTCTATGTTTTGGGCCAGAGCACTTAATATAACAAACAATGTATGTAAAGATAAAGTAACTGCTTAAAAACACTGAAGAAATATGTGTCCAAAGGTTTGTCTAGAGGACAATATTTTAGTCTATAAGGCAGTTATCTACATGCTGGTTTATGGTCTCATTTGCAGTTTCTGTTGGAAAATACCTGCCACAAATTGGACAAGTAATTTCACTCTTGTCATCCTTCAACCTGGTCTGTTTAGCAAATGATGAAAACAATGACACTTGCTTGGAGCGTTTGGCTGGCTGTGTACTGCTTCCACATGACAACCGTTTCTGTGATCTGCATTCTTTTTGGATTCTTGGTTTGGAAATGAGGGCAGAGGGTTGCACACCATTTGGATTAGTGCCAAGATTATTTTCTTCTATTTCAAAACCAACTTCGACTTTCTCTTGTAATTTGCCCTGTGTCTTTCTGACCTTGGTTTCATTGGCCTTATCACTGATGTTAGTTGAGCCATTTTCTGGCTCTTCAGAGTTATGTGATGACACTGAAGAAGCACAGTCTTCGCTACAGAACCTCGAAACTGGTTTGAAGAAGTTTTTAAGGGTTACAGGTGGGTTAGTTGCCCTGGCAAAACATTTGGGCACAACTGGAGTAACATCTTCCCTGATGATTTTGAACTGTTTTGTTGAATCTTCCTTAGCATTGGGTGTAGTCAACTGGCTTGGACTAGCAGAAAGGTTCTGCAAGTAGAAAGAGTGACGAGACTTAACATAGACATAAGAAAACAGACCAAGATCAATGCAGCTTATGTTCTCAATGGTCCTCATACATTCAAAACTAAAGCCTAAAAAAACAATAAATTAAAACAAATGTTAGAAATATCAAAATATGTATGTCTGGAGTTAACAAGTGTTTGCAAAAAGGCCCCGTCCAATAAAACACATGACTTTGAACCTGGAACTCTCATGAATCTTACTAATTTAGCAATGAAATAATACCAACTGACACGGTTTAAAGACATCACTTTCAGTTTGACCGCCGCCGTGGTGTAGTGGTTAGAGCTTCTGTCCGGAGAGCAGAAGGTCGCGGGTTTGATGCCCGACCGCGTCATACGAAAAGACGTTAAAATATGGTACTTGTTGGTCCCTGCCTGGCGCTCAGCATTAATGGGTACAACAAGGACTGGTCGTCTCTGAGTCAGTATAATGTGTCTGAGTGTGGTATTCACTGCGGCATGGTATCTCAGTGGGCTAGCACTATAAAACCAGCTTAACCCTGGGTTAGTACAAGCAGCCGCACATACACATACGCATGCACGTCCTCATATGAGTGAAATACTCTCAAGCATGACATTGAACCCAATTTCACCTCACCTCACATTCAGTTTAGAATATCTGTTTCAGTACAACTTTGCACAGAAAGTCCCATTTCTCTTGTCTATCCAATCAAGAAAGTTATGATCCTGATGAACATTGTGAAGCACAGGTGGTGCGTTACAAATGTAAAGTTCCAACAGAATGCTTTAAATCTCATGAACGTTTTTGTGAGTAAAGTGTCATTTTTATCAAAGCGGTCTTCGTGACCTTGATGAATGTAATTATGCCAGATTCTAATCAATTTCACAACACATCCAAGTCATCAGTGTGGGCAATTTCCATCATACGGCCAGTATGATCTCAAGCAGGATGCTTATGTATAAAAAAGTGACTGTGTCACTTAATTTTCTCCCAACCTTTTAATATTGAAAAAGTATACAAAATCATTTCAAGAGTAAATGCGAAGATATTGAGGATTACCTCCTTTATTGGAAACTCTAACCTCTTCCAAAGTAATCTGAACAGTACCCTCTCCTGGAGGCCATACTATTTTCTGTTTTAAGAGATGAGATCAGTTGTGTAAAAATGTTGTTGAATGGCAGGTTTACACTCGAGTTTTTCCAGACACTTGTGAACCCAGGGAATTTCAGAATTTTTAAATTATGCAAATAAAATTATCTCTCCTCGGCTTTTATCACAATATCTCTGTTATTTTCTTTAGATATTCCAAGTAAATTTTACTGCAGTACAAACTATTGAGTTCCTAAGATGATGACCATAGAGGCCATGTGTCCACTGTTTGAAATAATAGAAGATATTGCCTTTCACCATATCAGCAATCTTGATCTGTTTACTGCCACATCATGCAATTTGTTTGTGGTTGGTACAAGTCAATACATTAATATTTGGTAAGATATATTACAACATGTCAGCAAAATGTTGGAGGAGCTCCACAGTCATACATAACTCCCATGTTTCCACCTTTTGTGAAGCCTTTAGAACAGGTATGGTTCTTACAGACATGACTTAAACATATTCTGCTTCCTAGATCAACCGTGTCCTTAACATATATTATGATAAAGACATACATTTCAGCCACTCATGAAGGAGGTATTGCATTGCTGAAACGCCTCAACATCAGCCAATTTAGATACAATAAAATTTGAACATTATCAAGAATGATTAGAATTCTTAGAAAACTACTTGTCTCTGCCAAGATATAGCCAACTCGTTTCAAGTCTTAACATGCCGGAATGCCTTCAATTAGCATAGACGATATGATGACTGCATAACAGTACACCGTTTAACTATTTTGCCATAATTCTTTTTATTCTTACGTATCTAACACTTGATTGCGTTTTTGCCTGAAACTTCTTTGCGAATGCACAGGTTGACTTGAATAAAACATGTTGAAGTCCAAGTATTGTGTTGTCTTTCTTCCTTGTGGTCCACCAAATGCTATCCAGGTATCTCCCCTTGCAGAAATGCAGGAAAACCTCATAATTTTCCCAAGAGTATCTTAGGTGTAAGGTCAAGTGTCAGAGGTAGTATGCTAAGAATTATTATCACAGATGTTCAAAATTCTTATGAATACGTCCCTCTAATACTTGACTGCCAAATCCCACAAAAGGCCCAGAGAACCCACAACACTAGCAAAGAAGACAGCTAGAAATGATAGTGACTAAGTGTTAACAGATAAGATAAACAGACCTGTGTTTGGTTGTATTGTCAACACTTGATACTAGTTCTTGCTGCTGAATATTAAAAAATTAGTGGACCTTCTGGTCACTTCTGGTTAACTGTAAATCTGATGTTGTCACTATGATCACATCTGGTTTAGTATAGTTCACTAGATGAGAATATCAGAATTATATGCCTGAATGAATTAAATCCTGTCACTGATGTTGTCATGTTGTCCAGATTAGCAACCATCCTGTCAGAGACACATCTGTAGTGAAGTGACAATCTAGTTCAGACATCAGGATTGGAGTCCCAACATAACATTGTTGGGTATTCTCCACCATCGAGGGTCCTTCAACAATAGCTGTGTCCCCTGATGCTGGTTGATCCAATCCTGGAAGTACCTGAGAAGCTGACGGCCTCTGTGGCTGTTAGATCCTGCATACACGTAAGGGCTCCAAGCAGCGACATCCATTAACTGCGTGTATGATGTGTGTGCTGATACTCTGCAATATGGGAGCAAACCTCATGATACCAATCCTCTTGAGGATACACTATTCCAAGGTGGGTGTTGGAAATAGCTCATATGTACTTCTGCACTTCCTTGATTTAGAGTTCTGACTTCTCTGGATGTATGACAAGACCCAAATTTGTGAAGAAAGTTAGCAGATATCGAGAGTCTTCAAAACTGGCTCCTCTGAGGTTTGAGACTGGAAGCTGTCCAAGTGGCAGTTAATCCTTATACGCTGTGGATGTTGATACGCCAGGACCATGGCTGTGATAAATTTTGAAGGGAGCTATCAATATTCCAAACTGGAGAACTGTGAATTGGAATTTTGAATTCCATTGACCACTGTGAAGAAGGATGAATCTGTATATGGAGGTAAGTAGTTTGCAGATCAATGGAGATCACAGAGTCCCTTGTGGAGATGATCTGTAATAGACTCCATGCATAACTTGGGAGGTTGTCTCATGTATTCCCTGTTTAGTATCTTCAGGTCTATGATCATGCTGAGCTCAGATGATTCCTTCTTGGAAACTGAGTAGATATCGATGTCCTACTGAGCGTAGTCTGGGTCCTCTTGTCAAACTGAACGCAATATCCTTCCCTGATGACTCAAAGGATCCACTGTTCATCGTGATAATGGCCCAATTTTCTGTATACGTTGATAGATTACCTTCCACTGGACCTGGAGACACACACATAGGAAACTTTGGCATCTGCATGGTAAAGCTTTTGGGCAAGTCCTGAATCGATTTGCAAGGAGCTGAATGTGGAGAAGTGCCAGAGCAGTCAGGCCATTTCTGTAGGGACTTCTTGCCTTTTGGCCGTAATTTTCCATCTGCCGTTGAATAGTTTATCTGACAAGGGCATATTCCAATACTCTGACGGGATTGAAGACCTGAGTTGGTGAAGGTAAGGGTCGAGTCTTAAGAGTTGTAAACTGCCTTTACCATAATATTTAGGTAAACAGGTAGCATTTGGCTTGTGTCAACAGAAATCTCCATAATGACAATTGAGGGGCCTTCAGCAACATGAGCCTCATTTGTAGAGAGAATCCTCCTCCGGACTATACCTTCTTGGATATGGCTGAACTATTGCTGATGTGACACCTTCTTTGATAGATAGATGCTCTGGAATTTTCACTGCAAAGCCTTGGAGTTTCATAGTCATAGAAGATGACTTTTTCGGTAAATCTTTATTATCAGTAGCAGAAGTGTTTTTCCCTTGAAGTAAATTCCATCCCAGGAGGTTGGGTTACTTAATCATCTTGGCCTGAAAGCATAATTGCAAAAGCTTACTAATAGTTCGGATAAAATTAAAGGTGCTTCTGGTCACTGTTTTTCAGAAGTAAATTCCTCCTCATCCAAAACATCATAAGCTATTCCTTAGCTGATGGTTATTGATGGTGCCCTGGACTCTGACTTTAACCTCTGAGCGTGGTTTCTAAGGTGGGGGCAATCCAGTGTGGTCGTTATCATTCTCCTCAGATAGGACAGATATCCTGTCAGTCAGTCCTTTAATAAGATCCCTGAATGACACTTCTCCAAAGAATTGACAGATATATTTATAACAGATTGGACTGGGAGGACCTCTTTTTCATGACCATCACAATTTTTGGAAGGACTTCAGGTGAAAGTGTCTGACAAGTTTGACATCAAGATACAAATGAACATGATGAGGAAATGCATTCCCAGCAGTCATTATGTGGATCATGCGTGGATAGTAGGCAGTAAAGTATTTGGTGCCTGACAGGAAAGCAGCTATGATTTAGTTCCTTCAAACCTGTGATAAATAGTCAAACCTTAGAAGAAAGTGGAATCTCTTTCTGAGAACAAGTGAACACATGCAAAATTATGAGCCACAGCAGAAATTATGAGGTTTTCCAGTGCTTGCGATTAGGGAGATACCTCACATGGATAGCTTTTGGTGGACCACTAGGAAAAAAGACAACACAATCCTTGATCTTCATGTTTTTTTTATTCAGGTCAACCAGTTGATTCACAAACAATATTTAAAAAAAAGGCAATCAAGTGTTAGAGAGACATTTGTTTGTAAGAATTTAATTAATCATAACAAAACAGTTCAAGTGACAATGGCTTAATAGTGTGTTGTCATGTAGAGACAGCCATCATATTTAATGACTTGTTGTAATTAAAGGTTTGTTAGTTGGTTGTTTAACGCCACACTCATAAAAATTCCAGCTATATGGCAGCAGTCTGTAAACAATCAAGTCTGGAGCAGACAATCCAGTGATCAACAGCATTAACATCAACCTACGCAGCTGTGATATGATGACATGTGTCAAACAAAGTCTGGGAGCCTGACCAGCTGATCCTGTTGCCCGCCTCTTACAACAAGCATGGGCATTGATAATTAAAGGCATAATGACTTGAAACCAGTCAGGTATATCTTGTCAAAAACACAAAAACACATAAAATGTTAAAGCAAAACTAACTGTCTATTTTCTCCACCAATTGTTACTATAATCAAATGTTTCTGAACATCAAAGTTTTCTGACTGAAGAATAGATTTCATAAATTTAAGAATAGTCTATTTCATACCATGCCTTGTGCGTTTTGCTGCATGAAAACGTGTTGTTCCGTCAGTGACCTCTGTACTTCCGGTATAAGGACTTCGGGGTATCTTATTCCAACTAGTCTCTCCCCATTGTCCAATTCCACACGTACAACTCGCAGATGTGTGTCATATTTACTGGAAAAACAGTCAATTAAGTTTCAAGTATCAGAATGCTGCAAGTCATGTAACCTACTGTCCACTCACAACACATCCACTGGCAGTCTACCCTTCTGTTCAATCACAACACATCACCGATAGTCTACTCTAGTGACCACTCACACCACATCCCTGATAGTCTACCCTTCTGTCCACTCACACCACATCACCGATAGTCTACTCTAGTGTCAACTCACAACACATCCCTCGTAGTCTACTCTAGTGTGCACTCAGAAGACATCACCGATAGTCTACTCCAGTGTCCACTCACAACACATCACCGATAGTCTACTCCAGTGTCCACTCACACCACATCACCGATAGCCTACTCTAGTGTCCACTCACAACACATCACCGATAGTCTACTCTAGTGTCCACTCAGACCAGATCCCTGGTAGTCTAACCTAGTGTCCACTCACAACACATCACCGATAGTCTACTCTAGTGTCCACTCACAACACATCACTGATAGTCTACTCTAGTGTCCACTCACACCACATCACTGATAGTCTACTCTAGTGTCCACTCACAACACATCCCTCGTAGTCTACTCTAGTGTGCACTCACAACACATCACTGATAGTCCACTGTAGTGTCCACTCACAACACATCACCGATAGTCTACTCTAGTGTCCACTCAGACCAGATCCCTGGTAGTCTAACCTAGTGTCCACTCACAACACATCACCGATAGTCTACTCTAGTGTCCACTCACACCACATCACCGATAGTCTACCCTTCTGTCCACTCACAACACATCACCGATTGTCTACTCTAGTGTCCACTCACAACACATCACCAAAACTCTACTCTAGTGTCCACTCACAACACATCCCTGGTAGTCTACCCTTCTGTCCACTCACAACACATCACCGATAGTATACTCTAGTGTCCACTCATAACACATCCCTGGTAGTCTACCCTTCTGTCCACTCACCGAAAATTTTACTCTAGTGTCCACTTACAACACAATACCGAAGATTTTACTCTAGTGTCCACTCACAACACATCACCGATAGTCTACTTTAGTGTCCACTCACAACACATCACCGATCGTCTACTCTAGTGTCCACTCACAACACATCACCGAAAGTTAACTCTAGTCTCCACTCACACCACATCACCGATAGTCTACTCTAGTGTCCACTCACACCACTTCACCGATAGTCTATTCTAGTGACCACTCACAACACATCACCGATAGTCTACTCTAGTGTCCACACACACCACTTCACCGATAGTCTATTCTAGTGTCCACTCACAACACATCACCGATAGTCTACCCTTTTGTCCACTCACAACACATCACTGATAGTTTACTCCAGTGTGCACTCACAACACATCACCGATAGTCTACCCTTCTGTCCACTCACCGAAAATTTTACTCTAGTGTCCACTTACAACACAATACCGAAGACTTTACTCTAGTGTCCACTCACAACACATCACAGATAGTCTACTCTAGTGTCCACTCACAACACATCCCTGGTAGTCTACCCTTCTGTCCACTCACAACACATCATCGATAGTCTACTCTAGTGTCCACTCACAACACATCACCGATAGTCTACTCTAGTGTCCACTCACAACACATCCCTCGTAGTCTACTCTAGTGTGCACTCAGAACACATCACCGATAGTCTACTCTAGTGTCCACTCAGACCAGATCCCTGGTAGTCTACCCTAGTGTCCACTCACAACACATCACCGATAGTCTACTCTAGTGTCCACTCACACCACATCACCGATAGTCTACTCTAGTGTCCACTCACAACACATCCCTGGTAGTCTACCCTTCTGTCCACTCACACCACATCACCGATAGTCTACTCTAGTGTCCACTCACAACACATCCCTAGCAGTCTACTCTAGTGTGCACTCAGAACACATCACCGATAGTCTACTCTAGTGTCCATTTAGACCAGATCCCTGGTAGTCTACCCTAGTGTCCACTCACAACACATCACCGATAGTCTACTCCAGTGTCCACTCACACCACATCACCGATAGTCTACTCTAGTGTCCATTTAGACCAGATCCCTGGTAGTCTACCCTAGTGTCCACTCACAACACATCACCGATAGTCTACTCCAGTGTCCACTCACACCACATCACCGATAGTCTACTCTAGTGTCCACTCACAACACATCACCGATAGTCTACTCTAGTGTACTTTCACAACACATCACCAACAGTCTACTCTAGTGTCCACTCACACCACATCCCTGGTAGTCTACCCTTCTGTCCACTCACACCACATCACCGATAGTCTACTCTAGTGTCCACTCAAGCCACATCCCTGGTAGTCTACTCTTCTGTCCACTCACGACACATCACCGATAGTCTACTCTAGTTTCCACTCACAACACATCACCGATAGTCTACTCTAGTGTCCACTCACAACACATCACCGATAGTCTACTCTAGTGTCCACTCACACCACATCCCTGGTAGTCTACCCTTCTGTCCACTCACAACACATCACCGATAGTCTACTCTAGTGTCCACTCACAACACATCCCTCGTAGTCTACTCTAGTGTGCACTCACAACACATCACCGATAGTCCACTGTAGTGTCCACTCACAACACATCACCGATAGTCTACTCTAGTGTCCACTCAGACCAGATCCCTGGTAGTCTACCCTAGTGTCCACTCACACCACATCACCGATAGTCTACTCTTGTGTCCACTCACAACACATCACCGATAGTCTACTCTAGTGTCCACTCACACGACTTCACCGATAGTCTATTCTAGTGTCCACTCACAACACATCACCGATAGTCTACCCTTTTGTCCACTCACAACACATCACCGATCGTCCACTGTAGTATCCACTCACACCACATCCCTGGTAGTCTACCCTTCCGTCCACTCACACCACATCACCGATAGTCTACTCTAGTGTCCACTCACAACACATCACCGATAGTTTACTCCAGTGTGCACTCACAACACATCACCGATAGTCTACCCTTCTGTCCACTCACAACACATCACAGATAGTCTACTCTAGTGTCCACTCACAACACATCCCTCGTAGTCTACCCTTCTGTCCACTCACAACACATCACCGATAGTCTACTCTAGTGTCCACTCACACCACATCCCTGGTAGTCTACCCTTCTGTCCACTCACACCACATCACCGATAGTCTACTCTAGTGTCCACTCACAACACATCCCTCGTAGTCTACTCTAGTAAGCACTCAGAACACATCACCGATAGTCTACTCTAGTGTCCACTCAGACCAGATCCCTGGTAGTCTACCCTAGTGTCCACTCACAACACATCACCGATAGTCTACTCCAGTGTCCACTCACACCACATCACCAATAGTCTACTCTAGTGTCCACTCACAACACATCACCAATAGTCTATTCTAGTGTCCACTCACAACACATCACCAACAGTCTACTCTAGTGTCCATTCACACCACATCCCTGGTAGTCTACCCTTCTGTCCACTCACACCACATCACCGATAGTCTACTCTAGTGTCCACTCACAACACATCCCTCGTAGTCTACTCTAGTGTGCACTCACAACACATCACCGATAGTCCACTGTAGTGTCCACTCACAACACATCACCGATAGTCTACTCTAGTGTCCACTCAGACCAGATCCCTGGTAGTCTACCCTAGTGTCCACTCACAACATATCACCGATAGTCTACTCTTGTGTCCACTCACAACACATCACCGATAGTCTACTCTAGTGTCCACTCACACCACTTCACCGATAGTCTATTCTAGTGTCCACTCACAACACATCACCGATAGTCTACCCTTTTGTCCACTCACAACACATCACCGATAGTCCACTGTAGTATCCACTCACACCACATCCCTGGTAGTCTACCCTTCCGTCCACTCACACCACATCACCGATAGTCTACTCTAGTGTCCACTCACAACACATCACCGATAGTTTACTCCAGTGTGCACTCACAACACATCACCGATAGTCTACCCTTCTGTCCACTCACAACACATCACAGATAGTCTACTCTAGTGTCCACTCACAACACATCCCTCGTAGTCTACCCTTCTGTCCACTCACAACACATCACCGATAGTCTACTCTAGTGTCCACTCACACCACATCCCTGGTAGTCTACCCTTCTGTCCACTCACACCACATCACCGATAGTCTACTCTAGTGTCCACTCACAACACATCCCTCGTAGTCTACTCTAGTGTGCACTCAGAACACATCACCGATAGTCTACTCTAGTGTCCACTCCCTGGTAGACCAGATCCCTGGTAGTCTACCCTAGTGTCCACTCACAACACATCACCGATAGTCTACCCTCTACTCCAGTGTCCACTCACACTCTTCTGTCCACATCATCACCGATAGTCTACTCTAGTGTACACTCACAACACAACACATCACCAATAGTCTACTCTAGTGTCCACTCACACCACATCCCTGGTAGTCTACCCTTCTGTCCACTCACACCACATCACCGATAGTCTACTCTAGTGTCCACTCACAACACATCACTCGTCCTCTGGTAGTCTACTCTTCTGTCCACTCCTCACAACACATCACCGATAGTCTACTAGTGTCCTACCAGTCCCTGGTTCCACTCACAACACATCACCGATCTAGTCTCACAACACATCAGTGTCCACTCACTCACACACATCACCGATAGTCTACTCTAGTGTCCACTCACAACACATCCCTGGTCTACCCTTCTGTCTACTCCTTCTGTCCACTCTAGTGTCCTCAGACCAGATCCCTGGTAGTCACCCTTCTGTCCACTCACACCACATCAGTCTACTCTAGTGTCCACTCACAACACATCCCTCAGTAGTCTACTCTAGTGTGCACTCACAACACATCACCGATAGTCCACTGTAGTGTCCACTCACAACACATCACCGATAGTCTACTCTAGTGTCCACTCAGACCAGATCCCTGGTAGTCTACCCTAGTGTCCACTCACAACACATCACCGATAGTCTACTCTAGTGTCAACTCACAACACATCACCGATAGTCTACTCTAGTGTACACTCACAACACATCACCGATAGTCTACTCTAGTGTCCACTCACAACACATCCCTGGTAGTCTACCCTTCTGTCCACTCACAACACATCACCGATAGTCTACTCTAGTGTCCACTCAGACCAGATCCCTGGTAGTCTACCCTAGTGTCCACTCACAACACATCACCGATAGTCTACTCCAGTGTCCACTCACACCACATCACTGATAGTCTACTCTAGTGTCCACTCACAACACATCACCGATAGTCTACTCTAGTGTACACTCACAACACATCACCAATAGTCTACTCTAGTGTCCACTCACACCACATCCCTGGTAGTCTACCCTTCTGTCCACTCACACCACATCACCGATAGTCTACTCTAGTGTCCACTCAAGCCACATCCCTGGTAGTCTACTCTTCTGTCCACTCACAACACATCACCGATAGTCTACTCTAGTTTCCACTCACAACACATCACCGATAGTCTACTCTAGTGTCCACTCACAACACATCACCAATAGTCTACTCTAGTGTCCACTCACACCACATCCCTGGTAGTCTACCCTTCTGTCCACTCACACCACATCACCGATAGTCTACTCTAGTGTCCACTCACAACACATCCCTCGTAGTCTACTCTAGTGTGCACTCACAACACATCACCGATAGTCCACTGTAGTGTCCACTCACAACACATCACCGATAGTCTACTCTAGTGTCCACTCAGACCAGATCCCTGGTAGTCTACCCTAGTGTCCACTCACAACACATCACCGATAGTCTACTCTAGTGTCCACTCACAACACATCACCGATAGTCTACTCTAGTGTACACTCACAACACATCACCGATAGTCTACTCTAGTGTCCACTCACAACACATCCCTGGTAGTCTACCCTTCTGTCCACTCACAACACATCACCGATAGTCTACTCTAGTGTCCACTCACAACACATAACCAAAAGTCTACTCTAGTGTGCACTCAGAACAAATCACCGATAGTCCACTCTAGTGTCCACTCACACCACATCCCTGGTAGTCTACCCTTCTGTCCACTCACAACACATCACCGATAGTCTACTCTGGTGTCCACTCACAACACATCACCGATAGTCTACTCTAGTGTCCACTCACAACACATCACCGATAGTCTACTCTAGTGTCCACTCACAACACATCACCGATAGTCTACTCTAGTGTCCACTCACAACACATCACCGATAGTCTACTCTAGTGTCCACTCACACCACATCCCTGGTAGTCTACCCTACTGTCCACTCACACCACATCACCGATAGTCTACTCTAGTGTTTACTCACAACACATCCCTCGTAGTCTACTCTAGTGTGCACTCACAACACATCACCGATAGTCCACTGTAGTGTCCACTCACAACACATCACCGATAGTCTACTCTAGTGTCCACTCAGACCAGATCCCTGGTAGTCTACCCTAGTGTCCACTCACAACACATCACCGATAGTCTACGCTAGTGTCCACTCACAACACATCACCAAAAGTCTACTCTAGTGTGCACTGAGAACACATCACCGATAGTCCACTCTAGTGTCCACTCACAACACATCCCTCGTAGTCTACTCTAGTGTGCACTCAGAACACATCAGCGATAGTCCACTGTAGTGTCCACTCACAACACATCACCGATAGTCTACTCTAGTGTCCACTCACACCACATCCCTGGTAGTCTACCCTTCTGTCCACTCACAACACATCACCGATAGTCTACGCTAGTGTCCACTCACAACACATCACCAAAAGTCTACTCTAGTGTGCACTCAGAACACATCACCGATAGTCCACTCTAGTGTCCACTCACAACACATCACCGATAGTCTACTCTAGTGTCCACTCACACCACATCCCTGGTAGTCTACCCTTCTGTCCACTCACACCACATCACGGATAGTCTACTCTGGTGCCCACTCACAACACATCACCGATAGTCTACTCTAGTGTCCACTCACAACACATCACCGATAGTCTACCCTAGTGTCCACTCACAACACATCACCGACAGTCTACTCTAGTGTCCACTCACACCACATCCCTGGTAGTCTACCCTTCTGTCCACTCACACCACATCACCGATAGTCTACTCTAGTGTCCACTCAAGCCACATCCCTGGTAGTCTACCCTTCTGTCCACTGACACCACATCACCGATAGTCTACTCTAGTGTCCACTCACAACACATCACCGATAGTCTACCCTTCTGTCCACTCACAACAAATAACCGATAGTCTAATCTAGTGTCCACACACAACACATCACCGATAGTCCACTCTAGTGTCCACTCACAACACATCACCGATAGTCTTCTCTTGTGTAGACACATCACCGATAGTCTACTTGGTGCTTACCTCAACCCAAGTTTCAGGGAAAACTTGTTGATTGTAGTTTCCAACACTGACATTAGTGTCACAATGTTCCCACAAAGAAGGTGAAGTGGATATGTTCTACTTCCAACTGAAACATTCAGGAGGTTTAGATTAGTAAGTACCACAACAGTACAATGATCAATGAGAATGTAGTTTACAGATCATTGCCTTCATTAAAACCAATATCTACTGTGGTACAATGTAAGAAATAAATGGCAGCCTTACGATCCTCTGGTCGAGTGGTGTTTGACTACAGCAATTGAATGTAGGGATGGATCTAAGCATACACATGAGAATTCTGATGACATTTCTATAGATTATATAATGGGAGATTCCAAGACATCCTCATGGCTAGAAGGGTGAGAGTGAGTGTGAGTGTCATGGGTGTGTGGGTGTGGGTGTTGGTGTGGGTGTGGGTGTGGGTGTGGGTGTGGGTGTGGTTACAGGTATGAGTGTCAGTGCTGACGCGGGTATACATGTGTTCTGTTGATGAGTGTGTGTGTACATGTGCGTGGAAGAGGGTACAGATGTAATTACTGATGTAGATAATGATGCTCATCATTGTCTACATCAGTGGTGATGTAGGTGATGCACAAGTGAGTTTAAACGCATGCAAAACATGGAATGTAATGTATGATATCCCACGTAACATAAAGGCTTATTTTGGGGACATGAATCTATAACATAGAATATCCATACCAAACGTTCAGCAGTGCTTCAAAAGTGCTTCAAAAAACAATGCATAAACACAACATGTAGTAATGAATGTATGTAGCAGAGACTACTATAGCTGAAGGAGTCGTTGTCGGCACAGGTACTACAGATATGCACCCTAAACAAAGTCAAAATACAGAAGCGTACCTAGGTAACCTAAACGGAAACAAGTCCAACCCCTAACCAAAATTGTATGTAGTTCCCATTCAACTGATTGCAAGTGGTATTGTGCATTGCAAAATATTCGTTACTGTGTATGCCCGTGTCTTAATATAACACAATCAAATGCATCTAATACATCAGTATGACAGTTCCAATCAAGAAAACAGCACAACATTGTATGGACTTGTTTTAATGTACGTTTCTATATTCCGATTTTCTCTAGGGTACATTTCTGTTTACTGAAACATACCTGGGGTACACATCCGTAGTACCCATGCCAACAAAGACCCTTTCAGCACTACTATTTATGCTGTCTAAATGTACATTTCTTCACTGACAAAACAAAAGAAAATGTTGGCAAACTGTAGGAATACTGAACCAACCCCAAACAGTTTGACTATACATTATCTTCTTTGTTGTATCAGTGAAATAATCATAATGACATTTCATGTTTGCATTTTCAGATCCATACAGTAACTGTACCATTGCAAACTCGGCGATGTCGGCAGTTACGCCCGTGGATGCACAGGTCTCGACTCTCATCATAACGTTTCTTCCAACCTTCCTCTGGAAAATATGAGGATGACACTGTGGCAAACTACAGCCAGAATCACACACACATGTTCAGCATCAACTTTCTGCTTCCTGGATAACATACAGATCTGGAATAATATGTCCATGGCAGCAGATTATTCCTACAATAGGATATAGTGTAATACTGTAACACGATGTGTAACACACTAGAAACACTTTTGTATTCCTACAATAGGATATAGTGTAATACTGTAACATGATGTGTAACGGACTAGAAACACTTTTGTATTCCTTCAATAGGATATAGTGTAATACTGTAACATGATGTGTAACGGACTAGAAACACTTTTGTATTCCTACAATAGGATATAGTGTAATACTGTAACACGATGTGTAACGGACTAGAAACACTTTTGTATTCCTACAATAGGATATATTGTAATACTGTAACATGATGTGTAACGGACTAGAAACACTTTTGTATTCCTACAACAGGATATAGTGTAATACTGTAACACGATGTGTAACAGACTAGAAACACTTTTGTATTCTTAAAATATATCTTTCACCTACATTTTCTAACCTCTTCACTTTTCTCTTAAATAAACATTTTATACTTTTCTGATATGTATTGTAGCAATAAAGTACAAAAGCACAGTGTCTCAATGTGCCCTAACAGTTGTGCAGATTCAGCTGTTTTCCCATGGCCTCAAGTGGGCCAACTTGGCACTGTGATACAGGATCTGTGTCTCTCTGTGGGAAAGGCATAGAACAGCTTTAAAGTCATGAAAAGACTGAAGGTTGAGTTATTGAACATATGACAACAGCTGATGACACTGAAACCTTTCTGAACAAGATAGTAGAAAATGATTTTTGGTGTCAGAAGGCAGGAGTTGGAATAATGAAAAGCATGAAACTTTCTTCTGATGCACATCTCTGAGTGAATTTAACAGTACATCCTTGTGTCCATCCCTGGATACAGGAGATGAGATGGACATGTTCCCAAAGCCAAACTAACCTGGTACATCTTACCGCTGACACCTGACAAGGGAACGTATTAATATAACCTCACGTACAAAGTGCTCTGCTGTTACTGAACAAACATCAAACAGGGATGTGTTGGAGTACCATGACAACAGCCAGGCTTGACCTTGCAAGAAAGTGTTGGATATTTTCTGTGAGAACAACTCTGCCTCTTTACTCTGTTGACTGGCAAAACCACAATGCCATGATTGGAAATATCTCAGGACTCCTTGCTTCACTTGTACTACAATGTATGACAGCATATATACAAACATGTACAAGCTTGATACCTGTAAACTCAATGTTGTAATATGTTGTGATTAGTGTGGCCTGAGCAGATGCACTACAGAACCTGGACTCTTTGTTGTGATATCCATGCAGAGATCACTTTCAGAACTGAACGTCCTTTAACAATATCAACACAGAAAGAAGGTTATGTTTTTCATATTCTAAACAAGAACATTGTCTATCAAGGCATTCATTGAAAGGCTGACTGTCTGGGAGTGCCAGGTTTTGTAAACTGATGACTTTATTTAGCTGTTCAACACAATGACACAAAGATATATTTAGGGATTTCTTTTGAATTTTTCTTGTGTATTAATGTGACTATGGACAGATAAAATTTGTAATGTAATGGATCCACTTTCGACATACAATGTTGTTATTACTGACCTATATATCAACTGGACAAAGCAATTGTTTGACTACTGTTAGTGTACTTCTATCTATTAGTCACTGGAAACCTACAGACCATTGTAGCATTATCATCAGTCATTCTTTAACCATAAACATGTTTTATTGTACATTACTTTTGCCACAGGCTTGTTCCTGATATCCACAAGGACATGATAATGATCACTCTACTATAGCAACTGCACATAGTTTCTTGACTGAATCCTTAGATTGTACATCATCTTTGAAAATGTTTGTCCCTCATAACCTTACAATATTATCCCCACAAAACACCATGTGCCAGTTTCACACACAGCTGTAAAATTACAACACAAAGACCCTGATTGGAGCCTGGCCCCAACTGGAATATAGTCTCCTTCTAAGAAAGAGTTGAACATTGCTTTAGAAAGAATAACAGATTTCTTAAAGGTGATATAAGCGAAATGTTGAAAACATGTTGAAACACATACATATAACTGTATGCAGTAAATACATGCATGAAGAAGGGGCTACACATACCATCCACATAGTATGGTATCTGAAGCCACAAGTCTATTTCTCCAGATAAAAGTGTAGAGCATCATCTCAACAGCTGTTTTCATATTTGGGCCATGAATATGACATTCAGTTAAATTTCTAAACAAAGATACTCCCTACACCACAGAGCAGAAAAATACTTATACAGAATATACACAATATACAAAAATTATTCCTTATTTGGTTTTACGGTGCACTTATTCTCCTGGTTGTGAAACTAAAAATTGCTGCTTTTGCAGCTATTTGTGTGTAACTTTATTGATGGAACATATTTAATCTTCAAACAATTTACAAATGCTTAAATGTACAAAGGATTGTTCTATTCATAATGTGGCTGTATAATAAATTTGTAGGATTTTGTTTCAAACTACATGATTGTTATTTCACAATGTTGATTTTTTCTTGTGAAAAATCAGCAATTTGTACATGACTGCCAGGTTGACTTATTAGTCCTGCAGTGAGTGGGCTAGCTGTAGATATCTAGAGGTATACTAATCATGTGTGTTGTTAGTATGTAGAATGTTTAAACATTTGAAATTGATAATGTTTCAGCATGTAACTCCAAGTTTCCCTCATTGTTTGTTGACACAAAATATTGTACATATATGCATTGTTCTTGTCAATGATGTTTTTTAGAAGACATACAGTTGATACATTTGTAGGTTCTTTTTATAAATTTCTGACAATTTTTACATTTGATATATTTCATATCTGTTTGCACAAAATAATGTACCATGTTTGTTACTTTTCAGTTAGAAAGTTGACAATTATACATATGCACAGATGGTTTAACTTCATTACTAGTCAGGCTGAATGAGACTATTGACCTTGTACTTGTTAATCCTTTTATTATTATTCACCCTGTTCTTGTTTCCTGCAGACTACCTGATATGATTCCTTCACCAGAATGTGTCACCATAGCATGAACAGATATACTTTTATTACTGTTGTATCCTAAAATATATTCCTGGTATTACCTTTTCAACTTTTTAAATTACACTATGTATATGGAAATGTAACATACCATAGTTAGAGAAAATATTGAAAGCCTGTGTCTCATACTGATTTTACAAAACATAAATTCTTGTATTTCGTGAGTGAGAGCATGGGTAATAATTGAATTCTTATACCCATTCCGTGTGAGTGTAATAATTCTTTATTACACATTATTTCTAAATCTTTTCTCGGGGTTCCCCTTCAGAAAACTGCACTCCTGTCCTTTCAAGAACAATTGTCAAATGACCTGACAATCTTTAGTTATGCGGTTTCTTGAGTGACATCATTCTGATCTTACGTCACAATAAAATTTGAATGAGGTCAACAATAGTCTGAATGATGAAAACAATAAACTGATGTGTATAATTTGAATTAGTGCACATATGATAGGGACACTATCCCCATAGGCCATATATGTCAGTAACTAGTCTTAACAAAACACCAGCAGCAAGTCTGGCCAGATGATATACAATGGTTAACAAGGACACCAGCACCATGTCTGGCAAGATGATATACCGTGGTTAACAAGGACACAAGCACCATGTCTGGCCAGATGCCATGCCATGATTAACAAGGACACCAGCACCATGTCCGGTCACATGATATACAATGGTTGACAAGGACACCAGCACCATGTCTGGCCAGATGATATACCGTGGTTGACAAAGACACAAGCACCATGTCTGGCCAGATGATATACCGTGGTTAACAAGGACACAAGCACCATGTCTGGCCAGATGCCATGCCATGATTAACAAGGACACCAGCACCATGTCCGGTCACATGATATACAATGGTTGACAAGGACACCAGCACCATGTCTGGCCAGATGATATACCGTGGTTGACAAAGACACAAGCACCATGTCTGGCCAGATGATATACCGTGGTTCACAAGGACAAAAGCACCATGTCTGGCAAGATGATATACAATGGTTGACAAAGACACAAGCACCATGTCTGGCAAGATGATATACAATGGTTAACAAGGACACAAGCACCATGTCTGGCCAGATGATATACAATGGTTGACAAAGACACAAGCACCATGTCTGGCCAGATGATATACAATGGTTGACAAGGACACAAGCACCATGTCTGGCCAGATGCCATGCCATGATTAACAAGGACACCAGCACCATGTCCGGTCACATGATATAAAATGGTTGACAAGGACACCAGCACCATGTCTGGCCAGATGCTATACCATGGTTGATAAAGACACCAGCACCATGTCTGGCCAGATGCTATACCATGGTTGACAAGGACACCAGCACCATGTCTGGCCAGATGATATACCATGGTTGATAGACACCAGCACCATATCAGGCCAGATGCTATACCATGATTAACAAGGACACAAGCACCAAGTCCGGCCAGATGCCATACAATGGTTGACAAGGACACCAGTACCATGCATGACATATCATGCTTATTCAGGTATCACTTTTGTCGATTTGCAATAGACACAAATATCTTCATCAACAATATTCCACTTTATATTATGTAGTCTGCAGTCAAATTATACGAAATTGTGTGATTCTCTTTGATGTCTCTTTGGCCAATATTATGAACCTATCTTATATGTCTTGTTGTTGAATGTAATCCTTGGCTTCTTAAAAAAATACCTTCTTTCTTATCAACTATCATGAAGCACTGCTTGTGGTAAATTGTTTATTTGTGTGATGTGTTTCTGACAATACTGATTATATTATCTTTAGCCCTAACTTTTATGTTCATTATTCCACCACATTTTTTGTAATTGCTATATTTCAAATCCAATACTTTGCAACCATTTATTCTCTATGGTCTTTAAGTTTGTAACATTTCAACAGTTTTGATGTTTCTCCTTCTGGTAATACTCTGCCAACACAAGCATGCCACATGGAAGGTCTTGGGCATAACACACATCACCTTTAGGCCAAATAAATATCCTAGCACCCAACCAGACATGACACATTCAATGATGATCATTGGGGTTTCTTACAAAAAGTGATTCAAATTATTTCAAAGGATAAACAATACCATATACATCACCCAGTGAATAATGATTAAAGCCTGTGCTCACCTTGTGAATGTGTTGTGATGCCCATCACTTTTCATACATCAGTAACCTGTTACCATCCCCAACAACTTGTGTTTGAGCTTGGTGGATTAAGTTTCAGTGACAAGTGTTAGGACATGTAGACAGATGTCAACTATATGTGTTGTGGAAATCTACAAGATCTACAATTTTTCAATGATAATCAGAACTGAGAATAGATAAATAAACTAAAAACAAGACAACTGAAGTTTGTTTCATTCACAAGAAAGATGTAGCTGAAGTCATACAAGCATCCATCTTTTGGTTATACATGTACTTAGCCACCACATAAAAACTGTGGGAGAACTAGTTCTTCCAAGTTCCTGCAGTATATCAGGTATTGAAAAATGGGCCCCAAAATTGAGTTCTATGTTTCAATAACAGCAGGAACAGCTAACAACCTGTGCATACATAGATTCTCAATTTTGTCAAGTGCATTATTAAACATTGTGTAACAATGTTTCAACTGTCATATATGCTGGTCTTCTGGTAACTTGGGTGAGTGAGTGAGTTTAGTTTTACGCCCGCACTCAGCAATATGGTGGTGGTCTGTAAATTAACACGTCAATCCAGTGATCAACAGCATGAGCATCGATTTACGCAATTAGGATATGATGAAATGTGTCAATCAAGTCAGCGAGTCTGACCACCCGATCCCATTAGACGTCTCTTCCGACAAGCATGGGTTACTGAACATCAATTCTAACCCAGATCTTCATGGGTCAGATGTAATGTGAGATAAGAGGCAAGAGTCACCACCTTATATACATCTCCTTAAAACACATTCCTGATCATTCCGTCTACATCTAGGGCACGTCTGGAGGATGGGTAACATTGTAATTAAAGTTTTCACTTGCCACACTGAAGACCTGGGTTGGATCCTCACATGGGTACAATGTGAGAAACCCATTTCTCATGTCCCTGCTGTAACATTGCTGGAATATTGCTAAAAGCGGCATAAAACTAACTCCCTCCCTCACTCTAGAACAGGTCTAAACATAGCACACCACTGCCCCTTACTGAATTTACAAGCACAATGCATAATGTATAACACTGCCTCATAACAATATCTACAGATGATATCGATAAAACAAGAACTCCTGAGTTTGGATTATCATGAAAATATCAGAGTTCAAGGGAAAACACTGCCTTCACCAGTCTTAAATGTCAGCGAAGCCACCAAAAACAGTTGCTATCAGCATAAATAGCAAATCTATAGACACTCTAGCAACTGACATCATGAGCACTGATCTACGCAGTTGGGATACTACGGTGTGTGTCAACCACATCAGCGAGTCTCAGTACTCGATCTTATTTGTTGCCTTTCATGACAAGCATAGGTTGCTGAGGTCAGTTCCAGGGCCTAGATTTTCGAAGCTCTCTTAGCGCTAAGATAGTCGGAAGTTAATGTTAATGTATGGCACTTACGACTATCTTAGTGCTAAGAGAGCTTCGAAAATCTAGGCCCAGATATATAGGTGTTAGCGAAGGAATGAATCTCACCCAATACAAATATAAAAGTTGAAATTGTCTGAGATGATTAATGTGGGATATATTAATTGTTCAGACGGGCTCAAAACTGACAAAAGCAAAGTGGCAGTGAGCTAGCTCCATGAACCATTAACAGCTAGAGCCTTCTCTCAGCATGTGTTTCTGAGACATGCTCTGAGTTGGCATACCTACAGAGAAGGTGAAAATACATATTTGTTGTCTGCTGCCGGATGGTAGTACTTCCAAATTCAGAAATGCTATCAACAATATATGTAAGTCTAACTGGCATGTAACAGGGACCGGAGAGGTGTTATACTGGCCAGGTCTGGACATAATGTCATTCAAAACTACACATCCGCATGTGAAATCTATTTGGAACAGCAGGACACCAGAATAGACAACCTGAGATTAGTCATGAAGGACAGATGTGATTTATACTGATCACTCACTATCATCTGTGTAGATTAATACTCTGGCATCTCTGAAGCTACTGTGAAACAGTCATTGGTTTACTGTTACTGCATCTTACACAATATATCGTCATATGTATTCCACAGTTTGATCAATTTACCTGCTTTCTCCGTCTGTATAGGAACATACTTTTGCAGCAGGTCAGCTTTCTCCTCATCAAATGTAGATAGGCCAGTGTTAGGTCTGGGATTATGACAAATCTTGAGTTATGAAATATATATATAGATATATATGTGAGCAACACAATCCTTTCCATAACTGTAAGAATTCTCTTCAGAATCTGTTGTACATTTCAACTATATCACAGGCATATGCATAACTTATAGGGATCAATATAAGCCTTTGGAGCTTGCACTGGTGCAACCTAAAACTGTAATATGCATATGCAACCTCATATTTATACCAACTTGCACCCAGTGCATGTCAACATTTTACTGTTCAAAGAACACTTACTTCAGCTGGAAAACAAAGATGAGAAACTGCCTTGGAGCAGTAACACTGATGACTACATGGACCGTGATTAATAAAACAAGAGTCATCAAAGATGACATATCCCCCCCCAAATTTGAAAGAACAAATCATCTGACAGTTACTTAAAGTCCAGCTTGATTTTTTTTATAGACTAAGTCCAAATTGTTTCCATAGAAATCATGAGCAACATAATAGCAAAAGGGCACCATTTCAAAGTTTGCCTAATATATCTGCCAAGTTCTGTTGAAAGATACTGAATGCTTTTCAAGTTGTGCTCCGGAAATGAAGCCCACCCATCCCTCTGGGGACTAAATCCTAATCGTTTCCATGGAAACCGGGAAAAATAAAAATGACAAAAATCTGCAAATAGCAAAAGGCACCACTTTGGGTTCTGCTTGATATATCTACCAAGTTTTCTTGAAAAATATTGAAAGGTTCTTGAATTCTGCTCTGGAAACGAAGCCCTACCCTCCCTTTTGGGACTAAGTCTGAATCGTTTCCACAAACCGGGAAAAATATATGTGCCAAAATTCTGCCAAGTAGCAAAAAGCACCACTTTAACATCTGCCTCACATATCTGCCAAGTTTTACAGAAAGATATTAAGAAGTTTTCGAGTTGTGCTCCGGATATATCTACCAAGTTTTGTTGAAAAATATTGAAAGGTTCTTGAGTTATGCTCCGGAAACGAAGCCCACCCTCCCTTTTTGGACTAAGTCCGAATCGTTTCCATGGAAACCGGGAAAAATAAAAAGGCCAAAAATCTGCAAATAGCAAAAGGAACCACTTAAGGTTCTGTTTGATATATCTACCAAGTTTTGTTGAAAAAATATTTAAAGGTTCTTGAGTTATGCTCCGGAAACAAACCCCACCCCCCTTTTAAGACTAAGTCCAAAACGTTTCCATGGAAACCGAGAAAAATAACAAGAGTCTTCAGAAGATGACATATCCCCCCGGCCCCCACATCTTTGAAAGAACAAATCATCTGACAGTTACTTAAAGTCCAGCTTGATTTTAGACTAAGTCCGAATCGTTTCCATGAAAATCGGGGAAAAATAAATATGCCAAAATTCTGCCAAATAGCAAAAGGCACCACTTTGGCATCTGCCTCACATATCTGCCAAGTTTTGCTGAAAGATATTAAGAAATTTTCCAGTTGTACTCCGGAAACGAAACCCACCCCTTCCTTTTGAGACTAAGTCCGATTCATTTCCATAGAAACCGAGAAAATAATAAATCACAAATATCTGCAAATAGCAAAAGGCACCACTTTGGGATCTGCCTCACATATCTGCCAAGTTTTACTGAAAGATATTGAGAAGTTTTCGGGTTGTACTCCGGAAACGAAGCCCACCCCTCACTTTTGGGACTAAGTCCGAATCGTTTCCATTGAAACTGGGAAAAATAAAAATGACAAAAATCTGGAAATAGCAAAAGGCACCACTTAAGGTTCTGTTTGATATATCCACCAAGTTTTGTTGAAAAATATTGAACGGTTCTTGGGTTTTGCCTCGGAAACGAAGCCCACCCCTCCCTTTTGAGACTAAGTCCGAATCGTTTCCATGGAAACCGGGAAAAATAAAAATGACAAAAATCTGCAAATAGCAAAAGGCACAACTTAAGGTTCTGTTTGATATATCTACCAAGTCTTGTTGAAAAATATAGAACAGTTTTTGAGTTATGCTCCGGAAACGAAGCCCACCCCTCACTTTTGAGACTAATCCCAAAACGTTTCCATGGAAACCGAGAAAAATAAAAATGACAATAATCTGTAAATAGCAAAAGGCACCACCTTAGGTTATGTTTGACATATCTACCAATTTTTGTTGAAAAATATCGAACGGTCTTTGAGTTATGCTCCGGAAACAAAATGATTACGGACGGACGGACAGACGGACGAGGCAACGACTATATCCCACCGCATTACATGCCGGTGGGATAAAAATGACTAAAATCTGTAAATAGCAAAGGGCACCACTTTAGGTTCTGTTTGATATATATCTACTAACTTTTGTTGAAAAATATTGAACGGTTTTTTAGTTATGCTCCGGAAACAAAATTATTACTGACAGACGGACGGACGGACGAGGCGTTGACTATATCCCCCCCGCATTACATGCCGGGGGGATAATAAAGCAAGGTAAAATGATGTTACCAGACCCAAAATAATTTTGTTACAATCATGTTCTAAATCATCAATACCAAACTGACATACAAAAGAAAGTACACAGCTGGCAACTTGGGATTTTTTTCACAAAATCAACATAATTTATTTTCATAAGGTTTTTCTTATTGTGACTTCACAAACATTGTGTACACCCCATTGTTTTGCCAAAACACCACACATATTGCACCTAAATGTAACATTGCTAGCTAGCACTATACATTCTTGTCCTGATCACCGTGTTCTTGGCTCATACAGTGATCCAATGCTGCTGCAGCAGAAAACATCACAGTGATTAAGTGGTTGTGCAGATGGAGAATACACAGGTGATGGCCCTCTTGCAGGGTGGTCACTCCTAGTCTTCCAGTTCTGGGACTGTCAGTTCTGTCTGTTTGATGCGTCTCAGTGATGATGGTCTGTCTCGTATGGCCGAACCATCTGGCAATATGGCTGTTCGAAGTACCCATATGTGAAATTTCAACAGCTTGTTCTCTCGCGCAGCTGCTGATAATTTTGACATTTTGATGTGCGCCTTCACCAGTAAGAATATCAATCGACTGTATACACAATGTTATTATGATCCTTAAAATATGGATGCTATTTTTGTAATTTTTTGTCAAAAAGTGGTTCAAACTGAACAGGATTATTTCTAAAGCAACATCAGGGATATGATCTCTTGAACAGCAGAGGGTCGATTTCTCATTTGTGGCAGTCCCCCTGCTTGTGTTGGTTTTTGACTTGCTGGTTTGACGTCACATTGTCTTGTGATTCACATCCTCATTATCTCTTGGAATTGGTATTCACGTTGTAAGTAAAATGTGTTTTTTAAATAAACTTTTACGATTCAAGTGTTATGAAAATGCCAAACATATACATTGTCTGACTGTTTTCCACAACTGCTCAGGGACCTACTGTAACACAGGATTGACCCTAAATGATTAAACAAAGGAAGCAATACTTCCTTGTGTTAAGCATGTCAGTCTACTTACCTTGCTATCTTGAAGAGATGTGTCGAATTCTCCTTCTGAGTGGCCAGTATGTAGTGCTTGCTACCCCAGATATCTCGTTTGGAGACATAGAAGCCATCTTGTCGTCCTTTGTAGTTGTCAAGCCTAGTCAAGGCTGAATTCCAGCTCATGCCTCGGTCAACAATCAGCTTCACTGATCTACAGATGTTAGTAAGACAGTTTTTATTCGTTGCTGGTACTATTCAATACAGTTCTCAAATGTAACATAACAGGCAACCATGATAGCTGAATGCCACCTAAATGCTGACATAAAAAGCTTACTTCTAATGAAATTTTAAAACAAAAGGAGCTTTCTCAAGATTGTCGGTGAACTGGATGTACTCGCTGATAATGAAATGTAAATCAATTCATGTTTACAGCACTGCTAGTATTCATTATTTACGTAATAATTTATAAGATGAAAACGTAGTTGGTAAGTAACCTTGAATTTCTCTTTAGACTGTACATGAAAAATTTAAAAACTACATATAAAGTATATATATAATGTATATAATATAACATCATAATAACATTTGACAAATTTGCCACAATAATGTCCACAGTACTGATAATTCTTGAGGTGTAATCATGGTGGAAGTAAACTAGCCCACAATCATCCACATTTGTGTATAGGTCTAGAGGTGTAATGAACCACGACCTCGAAGATAAAATAAAAAATATTCATTCAGTGAACTGTTCCAGAGAAACCACTGCTAAAAACATGTATGATCCCTGCTTTAGGATTTGGGCATCTTTTCAGAGTTGGACAACTTGAAGTATTATTGTATGTCTCTTCAACTTGGACACAATGGTGTTTGACTGTATTATCGTATGTCTCTACAACTGGGACAAAATGGTGTCAATGCACAATGCAGATCCCTTCGATTCACGCTCTCATTTCACCTACACCCCAGTTCACCTACACTTAATCAATGCATGTTTTCTCAGTACCCCTACACTTTGCTTTGGTTCCACTCTACTCACTAGCGGACTCACCCAATTAACAAATGGGCTTGACTCATTTCTGAAGAAACTTGGGACTTTGATTTCTTATTTGCGTTTGTATATTGTAATTCAGGCATTTTAGCATTTTCACATTTTATGTTATTAGCATTTGTATTGCTAAGCTATTGCTATAAGTTTTCATATGATTTTGAAATTTTTATATTTTAAGCAATATTAACAATCCATTTTAATATTTACATACATTTTTATAGATATTGCTATAATGAGTAAAATATATATACAGTCTAAATGACAAAAAATACCTTTAAACAGATGCGATTTATTTATAAAATTGTTTTGTCCAGGAATAAACTTTTAAGTAAAAATGTACTGTTTGCTTTACATACAAAAGACTGACAGAGTCCATTTTACATGAAGGGGTGTACATAATCTACAGTGTTTATTTAAGATCCCCCATTACCCCTACACTTTTTGACCCCCAAAAGTGTAGGTACACCAGTCCCTTCAGCTTGGACAACATAGTGTTTGAATGTATTAATACACGTCCCTTCAGCTTGGACAAAATGGTGTTTGACCGTATTAATGCAGGTCACTTCAGCTTAGACAAAATGGTGTTTGACCGTATTAATGCAGGTCCCTTCAGCTTGGACAAAATGATGTTTGACTGTATTAATGCAGGTCCCTTCAGCTTGGACAAAATGATGTTTGAATGTATTAATGCAGGTCCCTTCAGCTTAGACAAAATGGTGTTTGACTGTATTAATGCAGGTCCCTTCAGCTTGGACAAAATGATGTTTGATGTTCCCTTCAGCTTGAATGTGTTTGATGTATTAATGCCCCTTCAGCTTGGACAAAATGATGTTTGACTGTATTAATGCAGGTCCCTTCAGCTTGGACAAAAATGGTGTTTTAATGCAGGTATTTCAATGACAAAATGATGTTTGACATTAATGGTCCCTTCAGCTTAGACAAAATGGTGTTTGACTGTATTAATGCAGGTCCCTTCAGCTTGGACAAAATGATGTTTGAATGTATTAATGCAGGTCCCTTCAGCTTGGACAAAATGATGTTTGAATGTATTAATGCAGGTCCCTTCAGCTTGGACAAAATGGTGTTTGACTGTATTAATGCAGGTCCCTTCAGCTTAGACAAAATGGTGTTTGACTGTATTAATGCACGTCCCTTCAGCTTGGACAAAATGATGTTTGACTGTATTAATGCAGGTCACTTCAGCTTGGACAAAATGATGTTTGAATGTATTAATGCAGGTCCCTTCAGCTTGGACAAAATGGTGTTTGACTGTATAAATGCAGGTCCCTTCAGCTTGGACAAAATGGTGTTTGACTGTATTAATGCACGTCCCTTCAGCTTGGACAAAATGATGTTTGAATGTATTAATGCAGGTCCCTCCAGCTTGGACAAAATGATGTTTGAATGTATTAATGCAGGTCCCTTCAGCTTGGACAAAATGGTGTTTGACTGTATTAATGCAGGTCCCTTCAGCTTGGACAAAATGATGTTTGACTGTATTAATGCAGGTCTCTTCAGCTTAGACAAAATGGTGTTTGAATGTATTAATGCAGGTCCCTTCAGCTTAGACAAAATGATGTTTGACTGTATTAATGCAGGTACCTTCAGCTTGGACAAAATGATGTTTGAATGTATTAATGCAGGTCCCTTCAGCTTAGACAAAATGGTGTTTGAATGTATTAATGCAGGTCCCTTCAGCTTAGACAAAATGGTGTTTGAATGTATTAATGCAGGTCCCTTCAGCTTAGACAACATAGTGTTTGACTGTATTAATGCAGGTCCCTTCAGCTTAGACAAAATGGCGTTTGACTGTATTAATGCAGGTCCCTTCAGCTTGGACAAAATGATGTTTGAATGTATTAATGCAGGTCCCTTCAGCTTGGACAAAATGGTGTTTGACTGTATTAATGCAGGTCCCTTCAGCTTAGACAAAATGGTGTTTGACTGTATTAATGCAGGTCCCTTCAGCTTAGACAAAATGGTGTTTGACTGTATGAATGCAGGTCCCTTCAGCTTAGACAAAATGGTGTTTGACTGTATTAATGTGATGGCCCTCTTGCAAGAGCAGGAAGATCCCTTCAACTGGGACAAAATGGTGTTTGACAGTAGTAGGAAATGCTGAAAAAATACTATGTTGGAGGAAGGATTGACAATGTGCCAAGAAAATAGCTCACTTTAGTTTCAGTCCAAGCAAACTTTGTAGTTCATATACTTTGTTTTAAAGATGTCAAAACATGTTTCTGATGGATTGACTGACAAAACAGTGTGTACAGAACTGCTACTGTAAAAGTTCACCTACTTTGTAGATCCTCCTCCTTTGGCAAAATCCGTGAAGACTTCTTTTGGATCCTCCACCATTTTGACTGAAGCAGCAGTGATATCAAGCATACCCTCATTGTATCTGGAATCACAAAAACAGTCTTGCTGGCTGATAACCTGCTCATTGTCTGTATATACACTAGTGTCTAGACAACTAAACTTGAAAATTATAACTTGACAGTGGACATTTATAATACTTATCGTTCTTCAGTCCCTGACAGTCAGTTCTTAAAACTGTTCCCTACATTCACATATAAGGGTGAAAGGTTGAACAGTTTGGTTAGCACTCTGTTTAACATTTTGCTCCTATCCTATTCAAATGACGCTCAGTTATTCCTCCTAAGCTTAGTCCCTGATAGTCAAGGAACATGGGAAAGGAATATTTGAACTCAAGAGCCCTATCATAAGGATAAGGATCATCGAGAAAGTCTTCTGCTTAAGGATTGGACAAGTGTCACACCTTGGTGGAATGTTTTGATTTTTTTTAAGTTGCTGAAGGACCAAATTCATCTGACTCATGTTTGTAGTCTCTATCTTTCACTCTTCTGCACCCGGTCTTAGTTTCCATGGCAAACTGATCATCATTAACATGTTCACAAGGTTTATGCCCGGACTGTCGACAAGAAGAAATAATCTGTCCAAATTACTTGTCGACAGTCCGGGAAAAGGGAGGTAATGTTCTACATGAGTGACTTCACTCCCAGTGTTCTCGAAATTAACAAACCAATTAAAACAGAGTGTGATATATATAGTAGATAATATAATTATTCACTCAATATAACAACATGCATGTATCATGCATGTATCATATGTCACACAATATAACATATTTGTATAGCATTTCGATAATACTTCTACTCCCAATATCACAAAATAATTTGTAAGCTCTCTGTTTCTTTCTGGATGTTGTTGCATGTTAAACTCCAAAATGGTAATCCTTCCACTCGCATAACGTAAAATAAAAGTCTGTTTTTTGCAACCTTAATTCTCTTGCAAATTGTTAAAAAGACATTCTCTTTAATCAATTTAATTCATTAACTCATGATACGAGCATAGCTGTAGCCACCATAGCCACTTGCAAACCACTAAGCAAACATTCTCTTTCATTAATTAACACTGTCACGGTATGCTGACCACGCGATGTCGACACTCCGGGTTTTTTTTGTTTTGTCGACAGTTAGGAAGGTTGTCGACAGATCGGGCTGACACCGTTCACAAGCTAGAGATCCCAATACAATTCACACATGAAAGTGTGGATCAAAAGATGAAAAAGTCTTCTTGCAGCTGGAGCAAAGCTTATTACTGGTAGGATGGGTACAGCATTAATGTCCCGTGGAATTTTTGTGATGAAAGCAAGACATTGTGTTTTTTTTATTCATCAGACATTCTAGTTAAATAAAAAGTTTGGTTCCAAATTAAAATATGGTGCAAATAGTACTTTTGAGCACTGTACAAAATGGTTGTGGAAAAGGTTGCTAAAAGGTCAGAGTGAGTGAGTGAGTATGGTTTTACACCGCTTTTAGCAATATTCCAGCAATATCACGGCAGGGGACACCAGAAATGGGCTTCACACATTGTACCCATGTGGGGAATCGAACCTGGGTCTTCGGCGTGACGAGTGAACGCTTTAACCACTAGGCTACCCCACGGCCCCGCTAAAAGGTCAGAAGGTCATAATGGGAGAGTTGATTATTTAAAGTTTGAGGTTATTAACTTTATCCAAGTGTGTTTCTCTATTTCATGAAATATTTTCTCAAAAGAAAACCCCAAAATATATATTTTTAAATTAAATAAAATAATGAACACACCCCCTCTCAAAATGGCAGCTAGCAGACGAATTTTACCAGATGTAGGTTTTGTGCATTTTGTAAGTATATGATTGCTTCATTTTATCAAACCAATGTAAATCAAATTATTAATAAAAGTGAAAGAACAGTTATGTATGAAACTAAAAAGAGATGTTTATTTCTGATCGGTGAGACTGTCAGTAAGGGAGCAGTCCTGATTTTATTATTAATAAGTTTAAAGTTTTTCTTCTAAAAAGCAGAGTTCTATGAAAATAGATAAGAATATAATGAAATGATGGGGAGAAAACACTATTTTCTGCTTCACACTCTCTCAATTAAATCCCTTGAAATAATTTTCAAGTCATCGGATCGGATCAATGGTTATAATCATTGACAACAAATATATACAAATAAATGTGGGGAGAAATCTTATTTTATCAGCAGCATAGGAGAAGGCACAGTGTCCATATTTAGCTTGTTTGACTTTGGGGATAACAAGAAGGTGTTGATTCCCTGATCTCAGAGATCTAGATGTTGCATAAGCCTGAAGAAGATCTGAGAGATAGACTGGAGGCATGTTAGTCATGCACTGGTATTAGAGACAGAGGAGTTTGAAGGAAATTCTGTGTTTCACGGGTAGCCAATGAAGGTCTTTTAGAGTTGGTGTGATGTGCTGTTTTCTGGAGATCTGGGAGGTAATGCGAGCAGTTAAATTCTGTATGCGATGGAATTGGTCAGCGACTCAAGATGGAGATCTGGCTAAAAGGCTGTTACAGTAGTCCATACGAGATGTGACTTGGCTGAGGCAGAAAATTTTGGAGGCATCTTTGGTAAGAACGGTCTGGCCTTGCTGATATTGTGGAGATGGAAGTAGCTAGTTTTAGTAACATACTTGACGTGTTCTGTCATACTTAGATCTTGGTGATCGATGACAACACGCAGATCGTTGACAGTGGAAGAAAGTGGAATGGTTGCTCCACAGACACACACACTAGTAAAGTCACACTGTTTGCATTTCCAGCCTCTCCTAGAAGAATGGACTCTGTTTTCTCTCAATTTAATTTCAAGGCATTTGATGAAATCCATGAATATCTTCTGGCAACAGTCTGATGTCTGATGGAGAGACACTCTAACCGACTCTGTGGAGACTGGAGACTGCACGTTCAATGACCTTGGATATAAACGCTAAGTTTGAAACAGGCCTGTAGTTTTTTTGATCCTCACAATCAAGGCTTGATTTCTTCAGATGTGGCCTAACTAGAGGTGACTTGAGTACACTTGGGATATAACCAGATAAAGAAGAAGAGTTAATAATCAGCACTAATGTTGGTAAGAGTACGTCGAGACAGTCATATAGAAGGTCAGTTGGAATCAGATCAAGTGAACAAGTTGTTCTTTTTGCAGATTTCAGTAGTTTAGGAACTTTAGTGTCAGTGAAACTATCAATATGAGTAAGAGGCGTGCCATCAAACATTTTTGGAGGAAAATCAGCTTCATCCACAGCCACAGAAGACGAAATCTTATCATGCATGTCTTGGATCTTTTTGTAGAAATTATCCGAAAATGTCTGTGCTATTGCTTCATTGTCATCAGATGTCGGAAGTGGTGATTCAAAGTGTTTACCCAAAATACTGAACAAAAGTTTGAACAGCAACTTTGGACTTGACTCGTTGGCTTCAATCTTAGAATTGAGATGTTGATTTGTCTGATGAGTCATGCGCCTCTCTGTAATGTTTATGCATGCATGCACATCTGTAATCTTATGAACCTCGTTTGCATTCAGTATAACTATAGGCACACCCACCTTCATAAATATTGGGGGGGGGGGGGGGCAAATGTAAATTTGCGGCTATATAACCACCGGTAGACATCCCCAATTCGTCAAACACAGTCCAGTTATCCCCTGAATAATCAATCTCTATCCAAGCTGTTGAGTGACCAAACATGCTCTTCAGAAATTTCGCCCACGCCCCATCACCTGTCCTTTCCTCTGTGACAGGTATCTCATGATAAGATTGGTCACAGATAACATATGACCAGCCACTATATTGAACAGTTGAGATACGGAATGTTCTATTCAGGAAATTTGATGACGCCCTATCACGTGACTCTTTGTTTTATGTCTATGCAAGGAATATGTAGTATACATTTTTTTTTTATGTATGCTTGTATGGTCACGTATGTTTTCTGCATTAAATCTAGATGAAACAAAGTGCCAAGCTATGAATGTGCTCTATGTTAGTCACAGACTAGCGTTATTTCGATTTAGTACTTTCATTAAAATAAGTCGTATACACTAGAAATGTATCAGCAAAAATGCTATTTTCGTCGAAGATTATAAAGTATGTAAGTAAGTTCTTCTTTACAGTATGTCATTGTCATAGATGTTTTGTACAATTAAACCTCACACAATGACTGACTGACTGAGTTTGGTTTTACGCCGCCGCTTTTAGCAATATTCCAGCAACATCAGGGCAGGGTACACCAGAAAAGGGCTTCACACAATGTACCCTTGTGGGGATCCTCACACAATGATATGAGAGAGAGAATTTGTTTATGTGCATCTCATCTCTTACATACAAAGAATACATGCTTATTGTGATAATATATTAATGTACAAGCCGCCAAAGATCTACAAGAGAAACTTGCAGTCAAATTACATAAAACTTTGCAATACACGATATGTATTCACACCTGCTTTCTTTCAACATATATCTTTACGACACAATTGAACAATCAGGACTTGTTTGTACGACTAGACAGTTTCCTGTCATCCCCGGAAACCTGCCAGGGAAATCAGTTGTGATTAGCACTAATTAGTCTCGGCACAGCGAGTGGGCAATCAGCGAGTGGTTCCAGGTGTCGAGTAGTTGAGGTGGCTCTCGGGCCATTCTCGAGTTAAGGAATATTTTTCTCATATGCTGTAAGTCACCATATCTTGTTTCTTTTAGTCTTAAATTTACATAAATGTAATTTTCTGAATAAAATTGATATTTTATACTTATCCTGACTCATGCTCTTTTGCTTGTCTTCTTCTTCTTGCGAACATAGTGGAACACTTGTATCACCTATTGAAGCTCCCTTCAATTGAAACATACGTAAAATCACTAATCACTACTCACCAAGAGTTGCCCCTCTTTGTTTCCACTGGCGGGAAAGACGGCGCCACCGTGGCCCACATGCTTCACTCTCTCCTGATAACGAGCACGACACTTGAATTTTCAGGGAAATCCAAAGTGTCATGTGGGGAGGATGGGAGGGCTTACCTCATGAGTCAGGATAAGTATAAAATATC